AGACTGTTACAGAAGAGACTCCCAAAAAGAAAAGAGGAATCAAAAGTCTTATTAAGAAGATCTTTAAATTAAAAAAGTCCAAGAAGGAAGAAACACCTGAAGAAGAAAAGGTGGAGAGTCCCCATGTGGAGTCCAAAGTTACAGATGTTCAAGCATTAAAGGAACCAGAAACTGAGGAGGAACCAGAGACTGAGGAGGAACCAAAGACTGAGGAGGAACCAGAGACTGAGCTGGAACCAGAGACTGAGCACGAACCAGAGACTGAGGAGGAACCAGATACAGTTCCAGAAGAGATACTCAACAGGAAAAGAACAATATTTGGTCTTCTTAGGGAGCACTTCACACGCAAAAAGTCAAAGACAAAAGAAACACCTGAGGAAGAACAAAAAGTGGAGAGTCCCCATGTGGAGTCCAAAGTCACAGATGTTCCAGCATTAGAGGAACCAGAGACTGAGGAGGAACCAAAGACTGAGGAGGAACCAAAGACTGAGGAGGAACCAGAGACTGAGGAGGAACCAAAGACTGAGGAGGAACCAGAGGCTGAGCTGGAACCAGAGACTGAGCACGAGCCAGAGACTGAGGAGGAACCAGATACAGTTACAGAAGAGATACTCAACAGGAAAAGAACAATATTTGGTCTTCTTAGGGAGCACTTCACACGCAAAAAGTCAAAGACCAAAGAAACTCCTGAGGAAGAAGAAAAAGTGGAGAGTCCCCATGTGGAGTCCAAAGTCACAGATCTTCCAGCATTAGAGGAACTAGATACTGATGAGGAACCTAAGACTGAGGAGGAACCAAAGACTGAGCAGGAAACAGAGACTGAGGAGGAATCAGATGGCATTCGTCAGTGGTCCTTCACTCGCATAAGATCAAAGGATGAGATGGACGAGGAAGAAAAATTAAACCCAAAGTCTCCAACTGGTTCAGAGAAGGCAGCAGAAGAACTGGAGGTTACAGATATCGAATCCCTCGAAGAGGAGTTTGAAGATGCATCAGGACAGAAAGCAAGACTCGAGCGGATGAGAGACGCTATTCTCTGTATGCCTCTGTGCTGCTGCCCCATTGTGGATACGAGTTCCTCGGATTCCTGTGAGTCAGAGCATCAGCAGCCAGGCCACCAAGTCCCTGAGCCACAAGCAAAAGAAGAAAGAAGCAAGGTCTTAGTCCAGAAGTTTGTGAAGCAGCTGGTCTTTTTGGTCTTCCAAAGAGCAGGAATGGTGGGCTCTGGGAGCGACGGCCAAGTCTTGAGACGGCGTCTGTTTGAGCAGATCTGGCCCCACGTGGAGGAGTTAGACTTCGACATCCCTGCTGACAGGTTTCAAAACCTCCCCAACACTGTTTATGAGGACCTCTACAAAAGCGTGTCCTTCCCCCAGCTCATAGCCGAGCTGTGCAAGGGCTCAGCGGAGCCGTTTACCGACCAGCTCATCGGCCTTTCCTTCAAGAAGCACGTCACCAGGAAGCTCTCGCTCTTTGAGAGGCTGTCGCTAAACATCCCGAAGCCCGTCGTGTGTCTCTTTCCATGCAGCCATGGTTCGTCTTCAGCAGCCACTTCCCCCCAAAAGGCTCCTAGCCACCAGGAGCCCCAGGACCAGGTTCCCCCTGCTGCCAGCGGCCCGAAGGCAGCCCAGAGCCCAGAGCTCTCCACCAGCAGCACCCAGCAGCCTCCCACAGGCAGCTCAGCGTCCAGCCCCAAAAGCCAGCACACGGCGGAAGAAAGACAAATTATGTGCAAACTGTCCGTCGACCTGCTCGTTCAGACGCTGATTCTGCGTCTGATCTGTGAAGCAGACGTGAACTTGAGCTCCAGCATCTTTGACGCCATCAGCCAGCGGCTGGAGGACAAACTGATGGCCGAAGCCCAGAAAGTCGACTTCAGGATCTCAGCGGAGACCTTTAAAAGCCTGCAGAGCAGCATCCACAAGGACCTGTACAAACAGTTGGGCCGCCCACACATGGTCACCCTGAGGTGCCTGAGCTCAGGACAGCCGCTGTGCGACCAGATCATCCTCAACTGCTTCAGGGAGAAAATACACAAAAGAGCCGAGACCCAGAAAGGACTCTTCTCAAGGCTGGGCGCCTTCGTCAGGAAGTCCTTCAGAGTTCAGAACAGAGTTCATGTTCTTTAATATGGAGCTAAAATGATGGCAGCTGAACCTCAAACTGCCAAAGAACTGAAACAGAAAAACATAACTTTAAAACAAAAAACATTGAAAATGTGAAAAATGAGTAAATGCTCTTTTTGTTGTTGCGATGTTATACATTCAAATGTTTAAAATGTCAATAAAAAGACATGAAACTTACTTTTGAAACTCTGTTTCACTGATTTATTGTCAAATTTTTCACACTCTCACTCTGGACACAAACAATGCTTTTTGACTATGTAGTTCATATTCCTGGAAGTATGAAGC